CAGACAGACAGACAGACAGACAGACAGACAGACAGACAGACAGACAGACAGACAGTGCAAAATGGGTGCGCTCACTAGGTTCCATTGGTTCGTAAGTCTGGCCAGTGTCTGTCTGTAGGTCTGTAGTTGTCTGCCTGCGGTATCCAGTCGTTCACAATCTCTCCAGTCAGAACTGAGGGGAGGAGTGGACACCAGCTGAATCCTGGGGACCGCAATAATGACGTAAAGATACAGGCATATAATGTTGCGCTCCTTTCAAAACAGTTATGGTGTCGATAGTATAATGAAGGCAAATTTTCTTTTACATTTTTTTGGTAAGTATACGGCGTTCACAGCTGCATAAGGTCATATGAGCGCGCGAAAAACATTCGGCATTTTCAGTCTGGTAGCAATTAATTTTGAATTTTTTTCCGAGAGGCGGCCGAAGCCGACTCTTATCGATGTTTACCCTAGAATTACAAAGTTCGATCTGCCCAGCAGCGTCTAGTTTTGAGAAATTTGACGTTCAAGTGTTAAACTCTAACTATTTCAAAACGGAAGAACGAAACTAAACGAAACGAAACTGTAAATAAACAATACAAAACCTACTCACCTATCCCCGTTCTTCACCCCGAGCGCGCGCAATGACGTAGACCAGACGCCCATATCCGGTACCCAGGTGAAGCCTTTGAACATGAACTGCTGCTTGTGCGCTGGGGGGCCGAGCTGGCACTCTACCCACTGCGCCAGGTGGCGTCCGCTGAGAGGAGAGCCGTGCTCATGGGGCGGGACTTTGAGCCTCACCGCCCACTGTAGGCGACCCACCTCCAGGATGATAGAAAGAGGCGGCTCGTCTTCGATACGTCTGTCCGTTTGCCGAATCGGCTGAGGGAGGCAGTCAATCAGTCAGTCAGTCAGTCAATCAATAGATTGATCGATCGACCAATCAACAAATTAATCAGTCAATCAGTGAACCAATCAACCTCCGATCGACCAAATAACCAAACAAACAACCAGCTCTACAACTCACTCACTCACTCACTCACTCACTCACTCACTCACTCACTTATTTAACGTTCATTTTCGAAGGAACCAAGCTAAATGAGAACATTCGTGTAAAGACCTGTGCCTTTCCCAAGGACACAACGTTGGACTGAGCAGAACCACAAAACCCTGAATCAGCAATCTCAAGAACAGAGTTTTATTTCCAGGTTTAAGAAAAGTTTTAATTCGAGTTTTACGGCAATTGCAAAACAAATGAGTCATAATAATGTGAGTCCCGAAGATTGGAAGTGCTTTTAATGGAGAGTAATAAGCAAATAAAAGAAGGCTAGATATGGAACAATATAATATATTCACTGATGATGGGAAATACGATGCAAAACACACCAGGGCACCCGCCAACAAACCACAAAATCTCATAACGATAATTAAAGCTTTTAAGCTTTAGTAACAAGATACTTAAAAAGCTTTCTTGACAAGTTGTAAATCACTATATTAGCAAGAAAGAACAGGGATTTTATTTTTCTTTTAGTTTTAGTCACTCGAGATGTGTTTAGTCAGACTGCAATGGATACGCTAATAACGTGACTTCCCAACACAGGAGAGAGAGAGAGAGAGAGA